CCAGCCTGGCTGGGCAGGGAGCAGGAGCAGCATGTGAGCTGTGCTCCATCGATGGCCTCTCCCAATGCTGTCCTGAGGACATCGATAGCTGCTGGCCACGGGGGAGCTGGTGACGCTGGAGCGGGTCCGCAGGGAGTGTCTGCACAGATATCCACCATCTGTGGCCTCTGCCTGCTGCCGGTGCTCTGCCCAGGATCAGGCTGTGTCCTGGCAGCCTTGTGAAGGTGCAGTGCTGCCTCTGCTCACAAACAGTGGCAAGGTCAAAGGGCAGAGTGCTGTTTTCCTTCTCTTCCCTCTAGTCCCCAAATCTTGGAGCAAAGAGGCTGTAATAGAGCAGACCTGGAGGGTGGTTGTTCAGATCTGGGCTGATTCAGTCCTTTGGCTGTTCCTCCTGGGGTGCCTGTGTGAGCACATGGATCTGACTCCATCATAGGTCTGCCCCACTGTGCTGCCTTCCTGTCCTGTATCCCCTACCATGGGGACAGAAGCAGTTGGCCATGGTGCCACTGACAGTCATGGTAGAGGGAGCTTGCCCCTGGATCCTCCATGTCCTGGGAGGTCCTTGAGCCTAGTGTGGTTCCTCCTGTGTTCCTGGATTTGAGGTGAGGAGGTAAGAGCCGTCAAACTGGCCTTGAGAGGGGCCTGGAGGGATCTGGGCACAGGGCTGGGATGGGGCAAAGCTGAATCCAACTGCTCATCGAAGTGATGAGCTACTGAATTGTTAAATCGTCGAGCTGAGGTCTTCTTTGAAAGGGGTGATGCTACAAATTAATTAGCTCCCTTTTGGTTGTTAGCACTTTAAAACCCAGCTGTCAGGGGAAGGCTGGTTTATAGGCATTACATCAGGGCTGCCGGCTGGCTCGCTCGCCTACCTGGGAATTTCTAAGTGTGGTTGTAACTGGGGGAAATTTGGCTCGGCTGCAGCATCTGCCTCTCAGCGAAGCTGCTGGGATGCACTGCCCTGAGCAGGGGGGTCTGACTGGTGCTGAGCAGGGCTCCGGGGGCACACGGGGAGCTGCTGGCTTGTCTTGGTGAGCAGCCCCTGAGGAGCCGGCGACTCAGCCTCCCAAGCTGCCGGGGAAACAGGGGCTCAGCCTCCTGGTGTGTGGTTCCCAGGGAGCCGGTGGCACAGCCTCCCGTTGTAAGGCTCCTGGGAGCTGGTGGCTCGGCCTCTCAGCGTACAGCTTCCAGCGTTAGCCACCAGCCAGGGGACTTGCTCAGGTGAGCTGCAGGTGTGCAGGAGATGGTCGAAGTAGTTCCTGCTCCTTGTTTAATAACTGTGAGAGAGCGGGAGGCTTTTCTAAAGCAAAAGGGGCTTTTCTAGTGCATAGAAGATTGTACAGCGTGAGACCTCCTGGCAGTGCGGGCAAGGGCGGGAGGGGAGCAGCTCGTCCGTGCTCCCGTCCCAGTGGGGGAGGTGGCAGGGGGGCCGAGCGCCTGCTTCCCCATCCCCTCGCCCGGACTTTTCCGCCCATCTGGCAGCGGGAGCACGGCGATGCCCGGGCACACGGTGCTGCCGTCCCCGCTACCCACCGGGCTCACGGGGCTGGGGCCGGGGGGAACACAGCTTAGGTAAGATGCCCTCAGCCGTGGGGGCTGTCCCAGCGGGGTGAGGTGGCTGGGGCCGGGCCCCCTGAGGAGGGCAGCGGGTGCCCGGTGGTCCCGGGCGGGGGTCGCTGCCCCGCGTGGCGGCCCCGCGCTCCAAGATGGCTGCGGACCGTGACACGCCTGGTCACGTGGGACGCGCGCGCGCCGCGCCGCCCCCCCCCCCCCGGTGCCCCCGGTCCCCCCCCGCCCCCGCGCGCGCCCCCGGTGCCCCCGAGCGCTGGCATCGGCCCCGGCGCGTCCCGCCGGCTCTTAAAGGGACACGCACCCGCCGCGGCCGCCCCGCGCCGCGCAAAACAAAGAGGCACCGGAAACAGCGGCGGCGGGGAGGGGGCCGGCCCGGCGGGAGGCGGGCGGGAGGGAGGGAGGGGAGGGCCGGCGGCGGGCCGGCGGGGGGGGCAGGCCCGGGCCCGGCGTCGGCGAACAAAGAGCGGCGGGAGGGAGGGGGCGGGGGCGCCGCGGCGGCACCGGAGCGGCGGCCCAGGCCATCGGTGCAGGTACGTGCGGGCCGGGGGGGGCGTGAGCGGGCGGGGGCGGGGGCCGCCCCCCGGACCCTCGGCGGCACCTGCCCCGGGCGGCGGCGGCGGGGCCCGGCGGCCGCCTTTGTTATTGCTTTTGTTTGGCGCCGAGCACATGGCCCCGGAGCGGCCGCTCTTAAAGCCACAGCTCCGCGCCCGCACCGACACCGGCACCGGCGGGGCTCTGCGGCGGGGGCCGCGGCCCGGGGTGCGGTGCCGGGGGCCGGTGGCCGCGGTGCCTCCCCGGGGTGCTGCACGGCGGGGCGCCCCGTCGGTGCGCTCCGGGATGCGCCGCTCGCTCCGCCGCGCGTCGCCGTCCCGGAGATCCGGGAGCCGAGCTCGGGTTGGGTTTGGTGTCGGGGTCGGCCTTCCGAAGGGGCTGCCGGTGCGGCGGGGCCACCAGTGACCCCGCTCCTGGGGGAGCGTCGGGGAAGGGGCTTCGGGGGAGCTGGGGGTGCCGGGACGGAGCCGGCGGCGGGGTGGCAGCGCCGTCGGGGCGGGCGGCTCCCCCGGCAGCCCCGGAGCCCGGCTCTGCCCGAGCAGATGGCACCGGGCGTGAGCGCTGGCGCGCTGCTAACTTTGTTCTCGGCGGGGCCCAGGAGTCGCCTCCCTCCGCCTCTCCGAAGGGCTGCGGGGATCGCGGTGCCCTTCGGTGCGGGGCTGCAGTGACCTCCGCGGGGTCGCGGCCACCCTGCCCGGGATGGCCGCTGGCTCCCAGCCACGAGTGCGACAGAGAGAGCTGGGTGTGCCCGCGTGGGGCAAGAGGGTGGGTGCCTTGGGGGTGCTGGTTGTGGCAGGACGGGGGTCGGGCCACCACCGTGTCCGCGAGTCGGGGATGTCCCGCCTCGAGGTGCCGTCCTGGGGTGCTGGGAGCCTAGGCAGCTCCCACTGCTCCGGAGGTCCCGCGAACAGGCGAGTCCCTGTGTGGGTTCAGTGTGCCTCTGCGGAAGCACTGCCCATCCCGAAGCCCATCCCTGTGGTGTCTGGTCTAGAAGGTGCCCGCCGGGTCACGCAGGGCCTTGGTACCACGTGTGCTTCGAGAGTGAGGATGTGGAACTGGAAGCAGTAACAGCTCAGGGAGGCTTCTGGGGAGTGGGCTTAAACCTGGCCTGCTGCTGTGCCCTGGCCTCCAGCCCACACAGGGGAACACGGCAGCTAAGCAGAGCCTTGAGGAGGGCAGAATAAACCCCCTGTGGGGCAGACTCCCCTGCTCTGGCAGACCTCCCTTCCCTGGCAGCAGTCACAGACAGGTTCCTTGGGGTTTAGCCTGTGGCTTTTGGTTGTTTTTCCTTATTCCTCTCAAAACAAAGAGAGAAATTTGCTTTCAGCTTTTACAGTAGTGTAGTAGATGGAAGTGAAGTTAAGAAGAGACCTGTGTGTGGCACAGAGCTCGCCCTGGTGAGATATCACTGTGCTTGCCCATGCCCGTCACCCAAAAGTGACATTGCAGCTTCTTGCTGCTGGGCTGAGACCCCCTCTCAGTCTTGTCCTGGGGCTGAGCAGTGTTCCCCAGGCTTCAGGTGCCCTTCTTGCCTCCAGTGTGCCTTTGCCATGGGCACTGAGGAGGAGGTGGGGTTGAAGGAGCTGGTTTGGGAGGGCACCAGCCTGCAGGCGAGCTGGATTTAGGGGCAGGTGGGCTGCAGTGCCAAGGTCACGGCTGCTTCCGCTTGCTGGCTGCGGCTGTGGAGGCTGAAGGAAGCTGGGCAGTGGGAGGATGCCCAGGGAGGGTGTTGGACACACATGGAGCCATGGAAGGCCCTTTTGGGACTCTGGAAACCAGACCCTATGCAGATATCTCCTCTGTGCGGTGCCAAGCTCCACTGGGACTGGGGGGGCTTAACTGTGTGGTGGGAGGGGGCTCTGATATGAGGACACCAGCCAGCCTGGGTGCAGGAGGGGGGATGGGGCAGGGCCAGGGCTCTGTTCCCAGTCCGCCTGCCTGTGTTCCCACTGTCCCACTGCATCTGGAAGCAGCTGGGGAAGCAGAGTTGCCTGTCTGGCTTCGACACAGCCCATGCCTGTCCCTGTGCACACAGGGCACAGGGATGTGCGGGTGTGCCCTGTGTGCAGCAGGGAGTTGAGGCCCTGACACAGCAGGGCCGTGAGCCCCACTGCCCTCACCAGCCCCTGTGCCTGCCACCAGGGCAGCAGTGTCACTCCAGAGTAGGATGTGTGGGAGTCCAGCAAGAGAGAGCAGCCCCCAGACCAGTACTGGAGCCGATCTTGGCCAAGGACATGCTGGAAACCCCCCACGCTGTTGCTCAGGCTCCCCATTGGCCATTGAGCAGCCGGGATACTGCCACAGCCGCAGGGCCCTTCACTGCTTGCTTTTCTCTGTACCAAAAACAAGTGCTTCTCTCTCACTCTGTGTCTCTGTCGTGCATGGGGGGTAGCTCTGGCCATGCAGGGGAGGGACAGTAATGGGGGGATGGGCTCTTCCTATCCCCCTCAGAGCTGTATCCAGCTCCAGAAGAGAGGGTGGGTGCAGCAGCAAGAGCTCCAGCCATTGGCATTATGATTCCTGTGGGGAGGGAGCAGCAGGCTGAGTTGGGGGGGGATAGTGACGCTGGGCTGGCTTAGTGTCACTTGTGCAGGTCTCTGGGTATGAAAAGGGTGGTGTGACTCTCAGCATTTAGGGGCACAGCAGGGGCCAAGCAGGCTGAAATTCCTCTCCCTACCCTTCTAGCATGTCTGTGGGTGCAGTGGCTGCCCCAGCCCTGCTCGGTGTCTCCTTTCTTCCCTCTCTCAAAGCAGATGGTGAGAGAGTGAGTTGGGGTGGTGCTGTGCTGGCTTGGGGCATGGGGAGGACTGGGGGCTCCTGCAGCCCTGTGCAGCCCCAGGGGTTAAGGTGCCGTGACCCGGCTGTCCTTCTCACAGGATCCAAGGTGCTGGTGTCTTTCCCTGCCTGGAGCCTGAGGTCCCGCGTGCCCATCCGCCTCCCGACGTCACCAATGCGACCATGGGAACTGGCAGTGAATAGGCGGCCGCCCTCTGCCCCTTTTGCCCAGCGCCATTTCTCGGGGGGACCCTGCAGCAGCCCCGACCACCTCCGGCGAAGGTACGGGGTGCAGTGCGGAGCCCTGTCCCCCACGGCGTGTGGGGCGCAGGGTCGGTTCTCTGGCCCTGGTGGGGCAAGGCACCGGCTCCCAGGTGACCTGGGGGGAGATTGACAGGGAAGCACATCCACCTGGCCTGGCTGAGGGGTCCCTGGGGAGCAGGGGTCCTTTTTGTGCTGCAGACATTGAGAGGGCACTTGCAGAGTGAGCAGAGAAGCTGGTTCTGGAGCTGCCCAGCCTGATGTGGCCTGGCACAATGCCCTGAGCATCTCGCCCTGGGCACTGGGCTGGCATTGACCCACCTGTAGCCACCCTGCCCGGGGCTGCGGTGCCCCTGGCCTGGGGGGTCACTCCTGCTCTGTTTCTCTCCTGCGGTGGCCCCGCAGCCCCCCTGCCAGGCGTCAGTGGGGACGACGTGACAGACCTCTGGCAACCCTGCTGGGCCAGGATGAGCCCCAGCTGCACCCTGCCTTCCCCCAGCAGCCGCACATCCCTGTAGATGAGCCCCGTGCCTACGCTCTTCCCAGCACGCCGCCACGAATGCTTCACCCAGCCACTCACCCGCCCCACCAGAACCCATTCATGGTGGATCTGCATGACCAGGTAGGTACTGCAGCCCCAACCCCACTCCTAAGTGTGGCCCTGGACTGGTGTCTGGGATGGTGACATGTCCCTGAGTCCCCTCTGGCCACTTGCTGCTGGGAGCACCCAGTCCTGAGCCTGTTGGTGCTCTTGTCCTCTGAGCACTTAAATCCTGCGGTCCCTGTACCAGCTTGGGTGTGGCCATGGTTGTCCCTGCTCCCAGGGACTGGGGATAGTCCACTTGTAGGGTTGTTCATGTTACAACTGTCAGTGTCATCTGTGGTGGCAGTGCTGGCTTGGAGGCTGTGCCAGCTTGTCTGTGGGGAGCAAAGAGAGGTCCAAAACTCCCTGAAACTGAGCCTGCGCTCAGCCCACTTCTCTGGCCACCACCAGTGGGACGGAGGTGCCAGGTGTTGTGTTCCAGTGCTGGGTGCTCAGCACCCTGATGCCACCCTGTCACGATGGGGGCAGCTCAGCCAGGGCTGTATCCTGACAGTGCCCTTGACACCTCATCCTCAGGTGCACCAGGGACCTGTCCCTCTCTCCTACACGGTTACCACCGTCACGACGCAAGGCTTCCCCATCCACGCTGGCCAGCACATCCCTGGGTGCAGCACCCAGCAGCTCCCAGCATGCTCAGTGATGTTCAGTGGACAGCACTACCCGCTCTGCTGCCTCCCACCCCCGGTGAGTCATGGCAGGGGACACCTGGGGACAGCCTGGACCGTGAGTGCCCAGAGGTTGTGTGGGTACTCAGGCCCACTGGAGTGCAAGTTTCTGAGGGCACAGGGTCTGTCTGTTGGAGACCCTGGGGAGGGGGCAGAGGTGTCTGACCCCGTTTTTTCTCTCTGTTTCTCCCCACAGCTGATTCAGGCATGTGCCATGCAACAGCTTCCCGTCTCCTACCAGACATTCCCCCCCATCATCTCCAGCGACCATTACATCCTGCACCCACCCCCGCCGCCAGTGCCCCCTCACCAGCCGCCCCACATGGCCCCCCTGGGGCAGTTTGTACCTCTCCAAGCCCAGCATCCACGCATGGTGAGTTACAGTGGGGGTATGGGTTGGGGATGTGATGCGCCCAACGAACAGTACCTTGGGTCTTGTCCCTCTGCAGCCCCTGTGGGTCTGAGCTGGGGGTGGTGGGTGAGGGTGCCCAGGGTCCTGGTAGTGTTGGGGAGGTGTAATATGGGACGCTTCTCCCAGCCTAACTGTTTCCCCCACAGCCTCTGCAGAGGATAGACAATGACGTGGACCTGCGAGGGGAGCAGCACCCCATCGCGGGCTTCACGTACCCCCCGTCTCACCACGCCCCCACGCTGTCGCCCTCCATGCCGCTGCATTACCTCCCCCATGACCCGCTGCACCAAGAACTGCCATTTGGCGTGGTGAGTCTCTGTCCTGTGGAGACACTGTGGGGTTGGGGTTGGGGACACTGTGGGGCTGGCACAGCTCTGAGTGCCCTGTCTCTCCCTGCAGCCATATCCCCACATGATGCCCCGGCGGCTGAACACCCAGCGGTACCGTCTGCAACAGGCGCTGCCCCCACCGCCACCCCCTCCACCGCCGCCCCCCTACTATCCGAGCTTCCTGCCCTATTTCCTGTGAGTACCGGGGGGATATGGTGTAGGGCAGGGGCGGTGCTGTGGATGGGGCACACAGTAACACAGTGTTGGCACAGGTGGCTCTGCCCCCATGGGGATGCCAGGGCGGAGGTTGGGTTTTGTGGCCCCACACTGACTGTCCCGTCGTTCCCCCCCAGCTCTATGCTTCCTGTGTCGCCGACAGCCGTGGGGCCCACAATCAGCCTAGACCTGGATGTGGATGATGTGGAGATGGAGAATTACGAGGTGTGTAGGCTCAGCCTCCCCACAGGATGATGGGATGGGGGAGGTGGGGGGGTGTGGTGATCCCTCTACTGGGAGGGGAGAGCCTGGAGGGGTGCTGTGCTGGGACATCAGATGAGCTAAGCCGGCCACTGCATCTCCTTCCAGGCACTGCTGAACTTGGCCGAGCGGCTGGGGGAGGCCAAGCCACGGGGACTCACCAAAGCAGACATCGAGCACCTCCCGTCCTACCGCTTCAACCCTGAGAGCCACCAGTCTGAGCAGACCCTGTGAGTGAGCCCAGGTTGCACATGGGGGGCCTGTGGAGGTGCTGGGGGCCGTGGCTGGTGGTGGGGCCGTGGTTGGAGGTGGGGCTCTACTGACGGCTGCTTCCCCCAGGTGCGTCGTGTGCTTCAGCGACTTTGAGGCCCGACAGCTTCTCCGCGTCCTGCCCTGCAACCACGAGTTCCACGCCAAGTGTGTCGACAAATGGTTAAAGGTACTGCCTGTGCCCTCTGTGGGGAGCGTGGTGGCTTCTTGGTGCCAGGTGCTGCCTTTTGGGTGGTCTTAGTGCCCTGCAGCACAGGATGGATGCACTGGGAGTTGGGGTCAAGCACTGTGCCAGACTGGATCAGGCACTCCCAGGATGTGGTTCCAGCCCTTACCAGTGGGGTGTGGGTGCAGCTGGTGCTGTGGGGTGCCCGCTCACTTTCCCTTGTCTCTGGTTGCCTGCAGGCGAACCGCACGTGCCCGATCTGCCGGGCGGACGCGTCAGAGGTGCAGCGGGAGGCGGACTGAAGCTGGCGGGCGCTGTGCCGCACAATTCGCTAGAGGATGAGGTCGCCGGGCTGGGGCGAGGGCCGCTGCCCGCTGCTGGGGCCTGACCCTGCGCTTACCCCCCTCCCCAAAGCCTCTCCTCGGATGTGGTGAGCATTGAGCAGTCCGGGCTCCCGGCCAGCCCTCCTCCTCCCCGCCGGGGCACGGACTCGGCCGGACACCTGCCCGCTGCGCTCCCAGGGCCCCGAATCGTGTTGTGCTGGAGGCGGGAGGCGCGTGGCCGTGCCCTTCGTGCTCCAAAGACGCTGTTGTTGCTCCATCACTTTTCCAGGTCTTTGTACTCCGCTAGGGAATTAGTGGTTTTTCCCTTTGTCACTATTTTTTTTTTTTTACGATAATTTTTTTTTTCCTATTTCCATTTCCGTCACGATTTTGGTTCCGTGGCCGTTTGCCCCAGGGGTGCGCAGGCAGCTCCTCCCCTCGTCGTTGTTCGAGGAGGACACAGGGAGGAGAGAGGAGGGAGTGCCGCAGGTTTGATGCTGGCGGCACCCCGAGCCAAGCTGGAGCGCTGGGACGGCCCCGGGACGTCCAGAGGAGGTGTGGCCAAGGTGGGACACCAGCAACCCTGCGGCATGGCTGGGGCAGGAAGGCAGGAACGCCTCTGTCCCTGCTCTCACATGCAGCCCGGCTCAGCCCCTTTCCTGCCTCAGGTGCCCTAGGGAGCCCCGGAGGGTTATGGCTGCTCGGGGTCTTTCACCAGTGGGAGGACGGTGCTCTCATGGCCCTGGCCCCTCTCCCTATTCATTCCCCCGTGCCTGGCAGCTCCCGGGGCTGAGTCATGTGGCATCCCATGAGGCAGCCAGGCCTGAGGAGGGATGCCAGCCCCGCATCCCCATGGCCATGGGCATGTGGTGTCCCCGGTGTGCTGCCCGGCCCCCTGGCTCCTGCTCTTGTTTCTCTGTCCCGACAATGTAAATCAAGGTAGCCCCGTGCCCCGTCCTGCTGGCTGGACGGCGTGGCGCGGTGTCCCCGGCCGGTGGGCAGCAGGGGCTGGCTGGACTACGGCGGGTGCCCCCCCAGCCCCCGGAGCAGGGAGTTTTATTCATAACCTCGTGGTGTATTTTCAGTGCTACCCTGGCCCTGCCCTGGCTGGCACTGGGGGAGCTGTGAGCAGCCCCCCGCTGCCATATCCCCCTGGCTGTGCAGGGCTGGGCGACGGGGCTGGAGGAGAAGCTGCCACACTGCCACCCGGCTCCGTCAATCCCGCGTGGCCGTTGTTTTGCATGATTAATTAGCGAGGAGGGTGACGGGAGGCGGTGGCTGGGGTGGTGGTGAGAGCACCGCCCTCCCCTTGCGGCGCGTTGGGCGCGTTGTCGCTGACGCCTGGGAGCCTCCGAGCGGACGCCAGCCCTATGTAAATGTTCACAAATATGCATGCATGTCTGACCAGCTTGGAACGTGGTCTTGGCTACGTCTAGCCGGCTGTGGGGTGAGGGGGGTGGGGAGAGGGGTTTTTGTGCTCAGCTGATACTGCCATGCACTGTACTGCACATGTCCGCAACGCCACAGCAGGACCGTGAGACTTTCAGGGCCGTCCCTGCGGGGTCCGCGCCCCTCCGGGCGGGAGGCGGCGGCGGGGGTGGGGGGCGCCCGCGGTGGTGGCGTGTGCAGGGGGCCGGGGTGGGAGGGGGCCGCTCCCCGCGGGGCGGGGGGCAGGCCTGGGGCTGGCCCTCGGCCGGGTGCGAGGCGAGGGGCCGCGCCCGGCACATGGGTGGGCACGACGGTGCCTGCAGGGCAGTGCCAGCCACCGGTGGGACCGGCCCTGGTCACTGCCTGGTTGGGCACGGGGCCGGCAAGCGGCGTGGGGCGACAGGCCAGTCCCCTCGCTGCCCTTTCCCACCTCTCCGGCGGCCACGCTCCAGAGGGAGCGTCGAGGCCGAGGGTCCCGGCCTGGTGCCACCAGCTCCGCCGGGCACCGCTGGGCTCGGTGCCCCTTGAGCAGGACCCCGGCCCCCTCCCCATCCCTCACTCAGTGACAGATAACCAAAGGAGTCCCTGTGCGCGCCCCCGGAGACGCCCCCCTCCTCCCCTCCCGCCCTCGCGGTGCCCAGGGAGCCAGGAAAGCCTTACGGTCCTTTGACGGCGACTCGAAAGCTCACAGCTCGTGTGCTGCAGAATTTATTCCAATGAGCAGCTAAAAGTATCATTTAAAAAAAAAATAACAAAAAGAAAAAATGACAAAAAAAATACTAAAAAACAATTATTTAGGGTGTTTGTGATTGCTGACTGCGCTGTAGATACCACTGTTTACCAATGAATTCCTGTGGTGGGATAGTGGACTGTTTACTGTTCTATTATACCAGTCCCCGGGCCCTCCGGTGGGACCCCCGCGGCCCCCGCGGCTCCCCGGAAGGTGCTAGGACGTGTGTTCTGTGTTAGAAAGTTTTTATATATATATATATATATATAAATATATATATATAATTTTTTTTGCTCTGTTACTTGCACATTTTACAGTTACCTCATTTTTCCCATGTATGTATTTGAAAAAAGGCTAATATATAGAAAAAAAAGGTTCTTAAAGCTCTAAAAGTGTTTGTTTTTTTCCATTCCATTGGAATCATATTGGTTTTGTAGCATTTAACATAACTAGTATGTTGTATTATATATATGTGTATTATACTGATTGAAATTTTTAACAGATTTGTACTTTTTTTAAAATGAAAGTTGCTAGTTCTGCTTGACCAAGTAGTGCAATCATTATTTTTTTTAATGTTGTGGCTGATTTTGAGAGGGATATTCACTAATAAATGTATGATGTATACCAACATGCTGTGCCCAGCTCTTGTCTCTGGGGGGGCTTCAGAAGGGATGGGGTCCCCTGGCTGTCTGCACAGCTGTGTGGAGGTGCAGCAGCTGGACGAGCCCCAGAGAGGGGCTTGGAGTCCAGGGGAGCCTGAGGGAGGGAGCAAGAGCTGCTACCCAGCAAACCATGCCGTTCCCCAGGCTGGAATGGGAACAGCAGTGTGTGCTGGCAGCCCAGAAAGCCAACTGTGTCCTAGTCTGCATCCAGAGCAGTGTGGGCAGCAGGGCAAGGGAGGGGATTCTGCCCCTCTGCTCCACTCTGGTGAGACCTGACCTGGAGTGCTGGATCCAGCTCTGGGGTTGCCTATGTAAGGACACAGAGCCCTTGGGAGCATGGAGTAGATAAGGGGACAAGCACCTCCCCCGTGGAGACAGCCTGAGAAAGCTGTGGTGGTTCAGCCTGGAGAAGGTCGTGTGGAGAACTCACAGCCCCTTCCCCCTATCTGAAGGAACTACAGGGAAGCCAGAGAGCAACTCTTCATCAGGAGTGGTAGTGATAGGACAATGCAGAATGGGTTCAAACTGAGAAAGAGTAGGTTTAAATTAGATTGAAGGAAAAAATTCTTCCCTGTGATGGTGAGAGTTGTGGCTGCCCCATCCCTCACTGTTCAAGGCCCAGTTGGACAGGGCTTGGAACAACCTGGTCTCCTGGAAGGTGTCCCTGCCCAGGGCAGAGGGTTGGAACGGGATGATCTCTGAGATTCAACTCAAACCCTTCTGTGATTCTAAGTGAGCTTGGCTACCTGTCCAGAACAGGTGGGTAGGGAAGGAACAAGTTCCTACCACTCCAGCTGTGAGCATGAGCTGATGGCACTGCTCCACAGCCATGACCAAGCCTCTGGCAGGGAACAGAGCCCTACATCCACCCTCAGATCTTTCACCCCCTCCCACTTGCTCCTGGAGAATAGACCCAGCCCTTAGAGCTCAGGGCCAGCTCTCTCCCTCCCTCCCAGCCTCAGCCCTGAGCTGATGTCCCAGGAGGCAGGAGAGGAGCAGCTCAGCCCTGCCATGCCCCACACTGGGTACACTTGTCTCACACAGCACCTCCCACTGGCACAAAATCACCAGTTCAAGGCCAGAAGCTGAGTGCACCCACAGTTCCATGAGCCACAATGCCCAGAGCAGCTCACCCCCCTCCCTAGGGCACAGCCAGAAAGCATGGGCACAGACGTGCTAGAGGCAGAGTTTATTACACTACGCAGGCTAAGAACCCTGGGCAAGACCCCACACGGGTAAGAATCGAACCAGCTCTTTATCAAAAAGTTAATACTATAGTCAACCCCATTCTCCTTTGGTCATTACAAAGCAAGAGAAATATTAAAGAACAGTATTTATACAGAGAGGGAAGCTGAAGAGATTCTGTCCAGCCCTTTCCCCCCACCCCACTCCCAGCACATTCCGGTGCTCGGTCGTGTGTCTCTCAGGAGCAGCAGAGTATCAAATCTTCACGCGATGTCAGGTTGTCGGGGTTTTATTATTATTGTCATCAATAAAAGCAGTAATTACCAAGAGCTGCCATTCCTGTTCCTCCCCAGGGAAGGTGGAGGGGCAACACCAGCTTCCCCCTCTCTGCCCCCCCCGGTGCAGGGGATGGCCGTGCGCACGCGTCCTCTCGCCAGCGCACACACGCAGCACAGCTGGCACGGGCCATGTGGTCTCTGATCCCTCGTTTGTACGCAGTCTTTTAAAAAAAATATTGTATTATAATAATAATATGAATTTCTCTTTCCATTTTGTGTCTTCTGGAAAAAACAAAAACAAAAACAAAACCCCCCCAAAAAAACAAAACAAAACAAAACCAAAAAAAAAAATCAAAAACAAAACCAAAAGAAGTGTCAATCGTCCGTAAGGTCCTGCACAAAGAGGACTTCCGTGTGGCTGAGTCCGGCCTCCTGCAGCGTGGGGGGGTTGGGCCACTCCTCTGTAGGGAGGCAGGGCAGGACACGGCGAGGGAAGTTGGCCTCAATCTGGAACTTCTCAGGGCTTTCTTTCAAGGAGAACAGGAAGTCGTGGATCACCTGGGAAAGAAGCACAGAAATAATTGCCAGCTAGTGGAGCAGTGACACAGCCACATGGAATCCCTGGCATCTCACAGGGGAATGTTACCAAATTTGCACCATCACTGCATTGTAGACGTGAGACAGCCATTTCCTTGGCACATTTGAAACTGGACTTGTCACAGAGCACCTGGGGAGTGCAGATACTGTTTCTGACTTTTCCTACACCATTATTTAATAAGGAGCAATGGAATAATAGAACGTTATGTGTTGAAAGGGACCTTCAAGATCATCTAGTCCTACCTCACCACCATAAGCAGGGACACCTTCCACTAGACGTCTCAGCTTTTAGGGAGAAGGAAAAAGTTTCTTCCATTTTTTCATCTCTCCCAGGCTGGTGGGACTAGGCCCCACGACACCTCTCCTTACCCAGGAGCAGCTGTGCCTGCTAAGGCTCTCAGGAAAGGTCACCATTTGTCACAGTGCAAGGGAACCAAAGACATGGAAGTCTCTAGACCCCCTCCCTCTGGAATGCCCATCAGCTCTGCCCCAAGCTCACCGTCAGTGACTGTGTGAAGTGGAATCGCCGCTCCACTCTGGAATCGTTAGGCAGCTTGAAAATGATCTTGACGCTCTCCGGGTCATCAGGATGTGGCTCGGGAGGAAGGCATTCCGACTTCCGCTCCTTCTCCTCCTGCAGCGTCTGCAAAGCAAGGAGGGAGCAGGAGCTCGAGGGACATTTGAGCCCCACGCAAGGCCAGCAGCTCTGATGTGACAAGCAATTCCTCCCACAGGGCACAGCCTCTCCAGCAGCCCCTCTGCTCTCACCTGTCGCCGCCTCTCCTCTGCTAGTTTTTGCTGCTGCACTTCCTCCTCTTTCTTCTTCTTCCTCTCCCGTTCCTCCTTCTTCTTGCGCTCCTTTTCCTGGTCCGCACGTAAGGATGCCAGATATGCCTCGTCCTGCTGCTGTCTCAGGACTTGGGTTTGGTTCCTCTCTTCCCTGCAAACGTGAGTGGGAAGGGGTCAGGGCTAATGGGCCCTAAAGTGAGGGCTTGGTTGGTTGAGGGTAGACCCGAGGGTGCAGGGACAGCCTCAAACTCATAGGAGCACACAGCAAGTAATGACTTGGAGTACCATGAGCTCCCAAAAGGAGAGCTGAGACCCAAAAAGAGTTGGGTCCTCATGGTCCCTCACACACAAACTGCTTCCCCAGGGTGGGTGGAACTGAACTCAAAATGCTTCTCAGCCACTGACAGACAGTACAAAAGCAGTGCCCAGGATTTCTGCCTCATACTTGAGACTCTTCCGAGTTTTATCTCCTTCAGGTAATTCCTTGCACATTTCAGGAACCAGAACGTGTTACCAGGTTACCCACAGAGACCGTGGGGCAGAGGAGGAGCAGACGGAAGGTGGGATCCTACTTTGGACGCAGTCTGCACATCCCTAAGAGTCACGAGGGGCTTGTGAGGCCCCTAGAAAAGCAGCCTGAGCTCATTACAGACAGTCCAGGCAGCAGCACACACTCACCAACCAGCTGCAGACACCAGCTCTCCTGCCTGCAATGCCTTTGCTCCCATTTGGATCCTACTGGCTACTGTCCAAGCTCTCCCTGCAAAGCTCCAGCACAGCAAAGGTGTGCCCCAATTGCAGAGAACAGAGCACTCACACCCACCTTTCAGTGGTAGGACTGTGTACACAACACATCCATCTCCCTGGCTATAGGATGGCCTGAATTTATGGACTGATGATCCCACTGGGAAGAGGAAAGCCAGGGGCTGTGTTACAGATCAGGAGATGCTGATCTATGT